GAGCCCCGCGCGCGGCGGCAGAGAGGGGCACGACTCAGTGCAGCCACCGCACACCCCGCTGCTGCCGGGCTCCCCGGGGAGGGAGGCAGCCTGGGGGGGTGCGCCCTGCAGCAGGCAGCCGCCCTCCCCGCACCCCCGGAATGAGCCGCCCACGGCAGGACAGGGACTTGAAGTTGCCATAACTAAGTTTAGATTGGATATCCTGGAAAACGTCTTCACTTAGAGCAGGGAGGCAGGGAACAGAAGCTGTGGGCTCTCTATCGCTGGAGGCGTTCAAGAAGAGGTTGGACAGACACTGATCTGGGTAATCAAGGCACAGCAATCAATGCCTCCGTTCTGACGTGGGTATTTCCCGTGCTTCTGGCCTGGCTGGTCCCCCCGTCTGTTCTCTTCCACACCTCGGGGTGTTTTTAGGCTTTCCTCAGAGGCATTGAGTGCTGGCTGCAGCCAAGGCTGGGGATTTTGACTGGAGTGTGCCAGCGCTTCTACAGGAGCCAAAACCAGATGTTCCTGGCTAGAGGGTCTTGCCCAGGGGCAGGCAATTATTTTGGGAGGAGGGCTGCTTACCCAGTTTTGGCAGGCTGTCGAAGGCTGCGTGGGTAGCCCTGCCCTTTGACAGGTGCCCCACCCCCTGGTCACGATCTTGGGACCAATGTCCCAATGACTTGGGACCAATGTCCCAGGGCCAGCACCGGTGGGCTGAAAGTGGGGCACAGACTGGCAGGGGTCTGTGGAGCCGGGCTGGGCTGCACCAGCAGGGAGCTGGGGAGCTAGTCTGGCTCCATAGAGCTCCTGCCAACTGGGACCCTGCGCTCCTGCCACCCTGCCAGCACTGGCCCCGGGACACCCCATGCTCCCGCTGGCTCCCAGCCCACGCACTCCTAGTGCCCCCCTGCCCCGTGGTACAGGTGGGGGGCAGCGCACAGCCCCAACCTCCTGCTCATTGGCAGGGAAGAAGCTGGTGCTGAGCGTGGGGAAAAGCAGCCCTCACCCACCCTGTGGCCGGCGTTCCCAGCTGCAGCCGCTTGCAGCCTGCACAGGGCTGTCCTGAGCAGGCAGAGGCAGCCCCCTGCAAGCTACAGTGTGGGGCGCTGAGCACGGGCTGGGCAAGGAGCCGCTTTTCCCCGTGCTCAGCACCAACTTGTAACCCGCCCTGGCTGCCAGCCTGGACCCTGCCAGCTCTGGGCTCACCCGTTGGGGCTGTGCACGACCACAGGAGCTGTGGCCCCCGACCTGCTTGCTACACTGGGCAGTGTTTGCTGCTGCTGCCTGCCCAGAGCTCGTACCCGGCACGGCAAGCCTGGGGCTGCTTGTGCCTGCTCAGGACGGCCCCACACAGGCTGTGAGCAACTGCAGCAGGGAGCTCTGGGCACAGGGCGGGAGAAGGGCCACTTTCCTCCACCCTGGGAAGGAGCATGGAAGGAGCCCGGGGAAAAGCTGAGCGTTGGGAAAAGCAGACCCTCCCCTGCCCTGTGCCTGGAGCTCTCTGCTGCAGTTGCTCGCAGCGTGGGGCTGTCCTGAGCAGGCACAGGCAGCCCCAGGCAGGCTGTGAGCAGCTGCAGTGCGGGGCGATGACCATGGGGTGGGCAAGAGGCCGCTTTTCCCTGGGCTCTTTTCCCTGGGCTCTTCCTCGCCTGCGCGCCCCCCCCCCCCCC